ACCGAATTGTGGAAAACTTAGTATGCACTGGGGAGAATTTTACTCCTACTCATTCCTTTGATGAGCCAGTACCTAACTGCCACAAAATAGGTTAAGTTGCGCTTTTAATGATTTCTATATCTTGATTCGTTCAAGTGGAGTATAACATAATACTCTTTATAGAAATCACCTATGTGGGTGAGAAGAGGCTGCTTCTAAGAGAATTAAGTGAAGATGAATTCTCTTAAAACACTCATGAACCAGGAGGTGTCCAAGGCCAAAATGGACACAAACGTGAGAACCAACTGCGTTCGAAGAGAACTGTGTGACTTCTATTGTCTAGGTTTACATGCACAGCTGACTGTTCAAAGCAACTTGCTACTGATAGGTTAAGTAAATTCAATAGATTTTATTAGGAAAAGTCTTTAGCTACTTATCTCGATGCAGTTTTCTTCAATTTTACTTCGATAAACATATCAAATATTGTTTGGAAAAAGACCAACATATTTCATTTATGTGGGGAATTGTTGGAAAATAATTAGTAAAATGGATCAACTTTGAGCCCAAATTTTAGTGGGACCCACACTTTAATTAATTCAGGATCTAGCGTATTCACGTTCTACTTCACGAGACGATTAACGTGATATATTTATTTGTCAAAAATCATTTAGAATTGAATGAAATATTAAATTTCAAAGTAATCCACTTGAAACTATAAATCATGGAAGAATTTGATTTGCCATACATTCATCCCACATAAGAAAGTTAGGAAACTTTAATGTGGTTTATATGGTGGAAGTTTGGGAATTGGGTTTGGGTGTCAAGGGGTACCAATAGTCTTTGGAAAAGGGGAGACCTATATCCTATTGGGTTCGATCATAAACCCACACATGTACGTCGTCGTTGCCGTCTGTCCGACTGACTGGCCAGCTAGGCTTGGCACGAGCACAAGCATGATTCCGAGTCCGGTTCGTGTTCAGGTGCAGGTAGGTCCTTGCGCTAATTTTTTTTAGACAAAATTTATTTGAATTTTTTGGGCCAAATTGTAAATAATCAAATTCTCGGGTACATAATGAAATTAATTTTTGGCTTATTTTCGAGTAATTTTTTGGTCTAGATAGTCTATTAAACAGTCGTCTGTTAATCGACCAAATAGTCGACTGTTAAATCGGCGCAGTATCGAACGAACATGTCTGTTCGAGTTTTGAAGGCTGCCTAAACAATAACGACTGTTCGGGAGGATGTTCGAATAGCCACGAACAAGTCTATAAATAGCCTGCCCCACTGTCAGAAAAAATTACACCATTTTCATTGCAAATATTCTCTGCATTGAATCTCATCCTCCCTCTCTCTCGTTCTAATATTATTTTCGAAGTTAAAATATTTCGTTGCGTTCGTTGGAACTCTTGCAGATTGTTATGCTGCTTCTGTAGGAGACAAAATTCGTTCTATCTTGGGAAATGATTGCTGAACGTCTTTAACACTGTTGAAGGCAACAAATTCGTTTTAAGGAAATATCGTGAAATCGGTGGGCTCGAATTAACTTTTATGATCCTATTGATCGTATTTTTACGCTGTTCAAAATTACGTAAAGTAATTCTGTCAGATTGTTTCGAAAGAAAAACTTATAATCCAGGAACAACAGCTTGCTCGCAGAAAAAGAAAATAGATATCAATAAAATTAAGCATGCATTTTTAACAAATTTTTTTAAGTTGCATTATTACCCTCCAACTTAAAATAAAGAAGAAATTGAATTTAGCTACAAAATAATAACTAATATCAAAATTATTTTGAATCATTTTTATAATTTTTATTCTTTGATGAAATAATTTTTCATTTTTATTTTTAACAATGTTGGAAGAGTCAAATAAAGTATTTTCTAAATTGTTCAATATTTCATTAACTTACTAATTTTTTTTTTTATTTGATGCTACAGTTCAAGGAAAAAGAACATAATAAATTTTGAAAATTTTAGTTAAAAAATATTTAATGAAAAATCAATAAATAGAAAACAGTATTCCAAATGTTATATAATGTAATATATAGGGTGTTAATTGTTATTACAGCTTCTAAGGGTATTTTTGTATACCGAAATATTTGAGTTTTTTTTTCAACAAATGGTGTCTTTGTATCCATTATGCAAAATTTATTACATAAAATTTAAATTTATAAAATACGGTGTGTAAAGTGTATAGACATATGGAATATATTTTGTAAATTTTTCTTTTTAAAATTGTTGCAAATGCTTGATATTTTATCTCTTTGATGCACTTGCAACTTGCAAGACTATGCTTAATTTCCTCTAAATTGTTTTTAATAAGGTTAATTATACAATATCAAATAATATTAAGGTATACAAATAATTTTTTTTTTTTTATCATATTGTTTAGTCTTCATAAGAAAAAAATAAAAATGAAGATAATTGGTAGGAAAATGAGAGTTTCCTACACTTTGTGCGGATCAAAGCTATTAAATACTTTAAGAAAAATAAGAAGTTGAAATCTTGTACAGTATACTTCATGGGTGCACTCGAACGTAATAAAGTGCGCATGAGTTCCATGAATGAACAAACATTTCATAAAATTTTGTTCATTGATTTGAATTAATGATTGTCATATTTTTAAATACTAGGACTCTGGACCACAATAAAAAGTCAGAGAGCAATTGAAATTATCATAACTTGGAACATCCTTGAAACTTGATTCAAGATTCTTAACTAATTGTGTAGCATTATTAAGAGAGGGCTTTGTTAGAAAAGCATGTGGGCACCTCATACTACATCTTTTTGATTCTCAGATTGGGTTCTTAATAATAGTAGTTGTACTACTCCTATAAAAAAAATCCTAAATAATTAAGAATGGATCCAATTTTGAAAAGTACGGGTCGAAGTAACAAGAATATTTCTAGTGGAATTTCTTTTGAAGTTAGAGACGATTTGCTAATAGATTGGATGAAAACTAATTTGACCTGTTCACGTGAATTTTTGAAAAATACTGATCGAAGTAATAAGAATATTTTTAGTGGAATTTCTATTGAAGTTAGAGATGTTATGCTAATAGATTGAATGAAAACTAATTTGATCTGTTCATGTGAATTTTTGGAATTCGCATTATGCAAGCAGATATTACTTTAGCTAATTTGGATTGGAATGTGATCTAAAATTCATATATTTTTCTTTATTATTTTTATCCATAATTAGTACATTCCTCATAGTTAGTCGTTATAACTCTACAATGGCCAAGGTTACTATTGCACTATATATGTTATAAGTAGTGAATTGAGTTAAATTTAACTCCTTCACATTCAAATCATGAATCTTTGGAATCCATATGAAGTAAGAATATATTAGTTTTGCTAATTTGAATTTACGGGTAATCTAAAATCGATCTATATATTTCATTATTATCCCCGTAATTAGTGCATTCTTCATAGTTAATCATTCTATCCTGGTACCAAGATTACGATCAATAGTCACTAGAATTAATATCGACATCATCCGATGTTTTAGTAATTGTTTGGCCCCCATTAAATTATAATTCATTTCTCTCTCTTCTTATCCTGGTACCAAGATTACGATCAATAGTCACTAGAATTAATATCGACATCATCCGATGTTTTAGTATTTGTTTGGCCCCCATTAAATTATAATTCATTTCTCTCTCTTTTTATTAACCATACATTATTCAAAACTTTTCCTTCATTTTTAATCACATATTTTTTTAAAAATTACTATTCCAAAATCAAATTCTCATTATAATGAGAGAATAATGGGTCCCAAACGGGCGCTTATTATTATTATTTGGTGACCAAGAAGTATGTGTCTCTTCCCTTCCAAGAATGGGTGCAAATTCATTTTGATTTCCAAGGGAAGCTGCAGTTTCTGGTCCTTCACATGGCCTCCAACTTTTGATGTTATCTTTGAATTATTAAGGTATCATCCCATACCACAAAACATATCAAAATAAATTCATAAAAATTTAAATAGCCAGATGGTTTCCATGTGGGTACCAAATAAGAACAGTCTATTATTGTTTTGCAGGATACGTGTTTATATATGTAGATATATAGACAGATATACACTCATACACATGTAGAGAGAGAAAGGAGGAAAAGCTTTTAGTTGTCATGTTTTTAACTAATTTCCCTACCCTAACATGATGAGATTCTTTGAGTCCCTTGTGAACATGTTCACAAATAATTAAATGTGTGGGTGTATATTAGTATATTATACATACATCAATTTTTTATTTTTATTTTTTTTTTTTGTGCGTCTGAAATACCAAATTCGTATTTTTACATGAGCGTCTTTCACTAGTGTCGGATCATTCAAAAAGCAATCTTGGATCACTGACTAAGTGACATATGGAATATGGCGAGTAAATCAAGTACGATTATAATTGTTGTGCGAATTATATTGTACTTTACCTTTGTATAATTATAAAGAACACAATTTAGGGTCATGCAACGAATTGATCTGATCGAACCCTTTCTTGAAATTATGATTAGTAAAACGAGAGGTCTCCAAGGACAAAATATGACAGCCATGAAACAATAGCAATGTCTAAACAAAGCCCACAATAAACTAGTAAACATTTTTAGTAAGACAGATGAAATTAATCGTTTTTATTACTTATGAGTTGACCAATTGATCAATTATGAGATAAGTACAATGTAATAAATCAGTCAGTTGTTTACTTAAAACACATTCCTTGCATGTTTTCATGTCGGAAATTTTTTAATAAGTCCAAAGGTTTACAGTCATTTGTTACAGATTAATTGCTGGTTCATATTCCAAGAACTCACGAACACATTTAGATGAATTAATTGATTCTTCATTGATAATTAATTAATCATTGAATTTCAATCTGATTAAGAATCCATACACATGCAAGGGATATTCCATTTTTTAATCCTTAATAATAACAAACTTATTGTCCAATCATTAATCCCATTCACTCATTCATAACCTTATATACTTGTCTGAAATGGAGCAAAACTAAGAAAAAAGGCTGAAAGAATATGACCAAAATGCAAAACAAGCTGTTATTTTTCTACTGTTTCATTGGTTTCTGCTTTATTTTTGCCAATGCAGATTCATTTCTTCCAAATGTAGAGTTATCAGCATTGTTATCAATAAAATCTAGATTGATTGATCCTTTGAATCACCTCAAGGACTGGAAAAACCCGACCGACGAGCTTAAAGATCACTCGCCACATTGCAACTGGACCGGGATTTCTTGTAACTCGACGGGCTTAGTCGAGAAGCTAGATCTGTCCAACATGAATCTCAGTGGCATTGTTTCAGACAGCATTCAAGATTTAAGGAGCCTGTCCATTCTTAACATCTGTTGTAATAATTTTGCCTCGTCGTTGCCTAAGTCATTAGCCAATCTGACTTCTTTGAAGATCATTGATGCAAGTCTTAACAATCTTGTTGGAAAATTTCCAATAGGCCTTGGAATGATTCCAGGGTTGATAAGCATCAATGCATCAAGCAATAATTTCGAGGGCTTGCTCCCGGATGACATTGGGAATTCGACCTCACTTGAAAGCCTGGATTTCAGAGGTAGTTTCTTTGAAGGTTCAATTCCATCGTCATTCGGAAATTTGAAGAAGTTAAAGTTTTTAGGCCTTTCTGGTAATAATCTTACGGGAAGGCTTCCGACTGAGCTTGGTCAGTTATCTTCTTTAGAGACGATTATTTTGGGATACAATCAGTTTGAAGGCTCTATTCCAGGAGAGTTTGGTAATCTCACTAGCCTTCAGTATCTGGATTTGGCTGTTGGTACATTGAGTGGACAAATTCCAGGAGAATTAGGCCAACTGAAGAACTTAACCACAGTTTATCTGTATCAGAACCGTTTCTATGGAAAGATTCCACGTGAAATTGGAAAAATAAATTCTCTAATCTATTTGGATTTATCTGATAACCAAATTTCTGGCGAAATTCCATATGAAATTGCTGAACTGAAGAATCTGCAGTTGCTGAACCTCATGTGCAATAATCTGACAGGGCATGTTCCCGAAAAGTTCGGAGAATTGGTAAAACTTGAGGTACTCGAGCTTTGGAAAAACTCGTTGACAGGCCCTTTACCCGAAAATCTTGGAAAAAACTCTCCTTTGCGGTGGTTAGATGTTTCATCAAATTCGTTGTCGGGTGAGATTCCATTAGGTTTGTGTGATTCAGGCAATCTCACTAAACTTATTCTTTTCAATAATTCCTTCTTAGGTTCAATCCCAATAGGCCTGTCAAATTGTTCTTCTTTGGTTCGTGTTCGAATTCAAAACAATCTTATTTCAGGGTCAATCCCAACTGGGCTTGGAAATCTTCCAAAACTTCAAAGACTAGAATTGGCCAATAACAATCTCACTGGTGAAATTCCTGAAGATTTTACACTGTCGACTTCCCTTTCATTTATCGATGTTTCTAGGAATCACCTCGTCTCATCATTACCTTCCAGCATTCTTTCCATCCCAAAACTTCAGACGTTCATTGCCTCCAGCAACAATCTTGAAGGAAAAATCCCAGATCAGTTTCAGGACTGTCCATCACTTTATGTGCTAGATCTTTCCAATAACCATTTTTCAGGACAAATTCCCCGAAGTATAGCTTCATGTGAAAAACTAGTGACTTTGAATCTCAGAAACAATCAATTCACTGGAGAAATCCCGAAAACCATTGCCACAATGCCAACATTAGCCATTCTGGATTTGTCTAACAATTCTCTAGTTGGAAGAATACCACAGAATTTTGGTAGTTCACCAGCTCTTGAGTCCTTCAATGTGTCCTACAACAAGCTCGAGGGTCCTGTTCCAAACAACGGTATCTTAATCACCATTAACCCCAATGATCTTGTAGGCAATGCTGGTCTATGCGGGGGGATACTTCCCCCATGTTTTCAAAGTATCATCCACACAACACGGGAAAAGAAAGTTTGGATAAATCACATTGTTGTAGGATTTCTTGTTGGGATATCAGTAATTTTGGCTGTAGGCATGTTGGTTTTCACAGGGCGATGGCTGTATAAACGATGGTATTTGTACGAAAATTGCTTCAACAATTTGTTTAAGAAGAACAATTCAGAATGGCCATGGAGGCTCGTAGCCTTTCAGAGACTTCATTTCACTAGTTCTGACATTCTGGCTTGTCTGAAGGAATCAAATGTGATAGGCATTGGTGGGACAGGAATTGTGTACAAGGCTGAAACTCATCGTCCACACAACGTTGTTGCCGTGAAAAAGTTATGGAGGTCGGAAACAGATATTGAAACCGGGGACAACCTCTTTGCAGAGGTGGAACTCCTAGGGAAACTTAGGCATAGGAACATAGTGAGATTATTTGGTTATCTACACAATGAGACTGATGTTATGATGGTGTGTGAATTCATGCCTAATGGAAATCTTGGTGCAGCATTGCACGGAAAAGAGGCTGGACAAATATTGGTAGATTGGCTGTCGAGGTACAACATTGCCCTCGGCGTTGCACAAGGGCTTGCATATCTCCACCACGATTGCCACCCTCCGGTTATCCACCGGGATATCAAGTCGAACAACATTTTGCTCGACTCCGATTTTGAAGCACGGATCGCTGACTTCGGCTTGGCAAGGACAATGCTTCACAAGAATGAGACAGTATCAATGGTGGCTGGATCATATGGATACATAGCACCAGGTTAGTGAATATCTGCAAATTTTAAACTGAAAATGTTCCTGTTTTAGTAAGTTATATTCTAGTACGTTTATAGTCAATAGTTTGATTCATTACTGCATCTATTAAAATATCTAAAGCACGATATACTTATTATGTTTCTCTTTTATCTTTCAGAATACGGATACGCATTAAAGGTTGATGAAAAAAGTGACATATACAGTTTCGGCGTGGTGCTTCTGGAGCTTCTAACAGGGAAAATGCCTCTGGATCCCACATTTGGTGAATCAATTGATATCGTCGAATGGGTTCGACAAAAGGGAAACAAGAAAACCTTAAAGGAAGCATTGGATCCTGAGATTGTTGGACAATGTAAATATGTTGAAGAGGAAATGCTTCTTGTCCTAAAAATTTCACTTCTTTGCACTGCCAAACTCCCAAAGGACAGGCCATCGATGAGGGACATTATAACAATGCTTGGAGAGGCAAAGCCAAGAAGAAAAAGCATTTCCCATAATTGGGGATTCACTGCCAACAAAGAGAAAAATGTAAATATGTTGAAGAGGAAATGCTTCTTGTCCTAAAAATTTCACTTCTTTGCACTGCCAAACTCCCAAAGGACAGGCCATCGATGAGGGACATTATAACAATGCTTGGAGAGGCAAAGCCAAGAAGAAAAAGCATTTCCCATAATTGGGGATTCACTGCCAACAAAGAGAAAATAATATTCGCACATTCACCAGTTATAAGCCTTTTATAGTATAGCTGAAATTTTACTTGATTTCACTTTTTGAAGTTTGATTTGTATTCTTATACGTAAATGGCCTGTTTGTTTAATGTGGTTCCGTTAAAAAGTAAAAAAGTGAATGTCGTGTTTATTATACTAAAAAAAAAAAGGGTTGAACCCCAACCTTGAGGGTCCCCACCGTCGCCCCACTCCCCAAGCTTTGTGAAGGAGATAAATCGCGGAATATGCTGAATCAGGTCAGGGAACAAGAGCTGCATGTACACTGCGCCTACAAGAAGTCCAATTTTATGTCTCAGGAATCGAACCCCTACACTGTGACTACCAACAAAACGTAAGATAACCTCACTCATATCCTTTGCAGCACTGAATTATGCCCCGAGGGGCTTTATTATACTATTCAATATTGCATATTGATGCAATTCAATCCTACAACTAAAATAAGGGGCCAAGCCTTATAATCTTTTAATTACTTTCTTGCACTTTGAGCCATTGGAGGGTTAGTCTTTAATTAGTATTGGGACTTTTAATTTTTTTTTAAAAATAAAAATAAAAAATGAAGCAACATTTCGTCACTAAAACCTCTTACCAACTAAAATCAACTTTGACGTTGCTGCTCTAGCATTTTTTTTGTACAAGAAAATATATTACTGATAGTTATTAAAGATTAATCCCCTAACCACGCAAGAAAATAATTAAAAGATAATAAGGCTCAACCCCCTTATTTAGTTGTAGGATCAGACTATATCACATACCAAATATGCCCAGAAGTGTATTTAGATGAGAATGTTTTTATCTGAGTTAGAATAAGCAGATAAGAAAAGTTAGCTAATTTTGAAGTTTTAAGTGGGAAGTGTTTGGTTTTCAATTGTTAATTAAAATGATAGTAATATCTTTGAAGCAAAATTATATTTTGTAATTGTATAATATACTTGAAGGTATTTTTGTCTTTTATCATTCAATAGACTATTGTGATAATATTCATTTGTCGTCAAAGTGAAATTTGGATGATTTGACTAGGCCATTTTTAAAGGTACCTCCTTATTTGATTGGTAGATAGGCAACAGAGGACTTCCTCGGTATAGTTTTTTTTTTTTTCTATTTTTTTTTTTCCTGGTAGAAAAACTTCTCAACCAAGCTACATTAAAAGTCATATTTTTCTTAGAAAATAGTCTAATTGAACGAACTTTTGTGGTATTATCAAATTTCAAACTGATCTAAAAATAGGTTTGACTTTTCAAAAAGCAATGCCAGAGTCCCTCGAACCAATTTATAATCTTTCAATGGATTGGGATACTGAAGGAAATAAGAAAACACTAATAAATGATAAAATTGCATCTTTGGTTCCTCACCTATTATTCGAGTTGCAAATTGATACCCAACCTAATACAAAGCAACAATCAATCTCCAGATTTATGGACAGTCACAGACGTCCGTCTAAAACTTTAATTTTGGTAATCAAATCCAACCTGTTAAAAATGAATGAGATGAAAATGAAGCATGAAAATCTCGGTAGAAATAGCTAGCATACAATTTCTGAGATCAAGGTTTGCCATTTGAGTTCAAAATTTCCGATATAATTCGGTTTTCTTCCTCCATTTAAAAGAAAATTTTGAAGCCCAATTGTATACATCCTATGTCAGTTAATATTCATACAAGTATACATCATCAAAATATATACAAACTATAATAATACTTTCCACAAGGTCTACCTCCCAAGGCTTCAGAGAAAATGGCCACAAGTCTTAACCTACAAGAAAGATGGTGTAACTGCACTCAGAGCCTCGGTAAATTTTGCAGCTTCGGCAATTCTCATAGCCATCGTGGCTCTGTAAGTTGCCATATCAGCATTTTCCGCTAGCAACTGGGCATGTTGACGCTTCAGAATAGCCAATACTTCAGATGTGTCGGCTTCTGATTTAGCTTCTTGCTTTTTAAGTAAGATATTATGTTGTTGCAACGCATCTCGTTCAGCAGCCATTGCTGTCAAAGAATCTCTTTCAGCAATCATTTCTGCAAAGAATGCCAACTTCAAATTGTTATTAACGATAATAGCTAGGATAACCAAAATTTACCTTACGTTATCAGGTTTAAAACACTGGTTGTCACCGAACTTGTATGGCATATATGGTAAGGAGAGTTGATCAATCCTATCCATTACTGTGCCAAAAATACACTTTGTTATGTTGGTCGCCCAATTTCATTTTGTTCCAAATTATGTTAAAACATTTGTTAAAATTTGCTCATTCCATCCATGTCTGTTAGCAAAGGCTGATGTGACAGACTACTTGGCAAATAACCAGACTGTCACGCCAGAATTTTTGTTGTCAAACTAAACGGACATGGACTAAGAGGCTTAACTTGAAACAAAGTTTTTTAGTTACCAAGAACAAAATGAAGTTTAGTGACCAACATGGACCACGGATAAAAGGTTAGAGAAACTAGCAGTGTATTTAACCCTTCGTTATCTATAGTAGCGAGCTACTAGGAGAAAAACTAAAAACACAATTCATAACCAACAGATTAGTTACCCAAATTTCGTGGGGGGAAAAAGGGCCTTATTGAATTCCTGAATTGCAATTACAAGTCGTAAAGTAATCAAATTTTTATGACAGGTTACTAAAATGATTTGTCGGCCCCACTCTTGAAAGCATAAAGAAAATTTATCCCAACTATACATCCATACAACATAAAAAGGGAGCCGAAGACTTGGCAAAACGTTACAAACCAATTATGCAATTTCCATAAAATTCCCATAAATGCACAAACAAACAAGTAAATAACAGTATCCACAAGACTAGAATGGCAGAAGTGCAAGTTACCGAGAAAGAGCACCTTGCAACAAAGTTCGTCGTTTGCCTCTCCCAGCCTGACTTCCCAGTCGTTTGAACGATCGTTTCTTTCGCAAAACAGATCTTGGTATCACTTGCATTCTTCTAGGCCGGTAAAACTATAAAAAAATAAATAAATAAATAAATAAAAATAAAAAAAATAAAAAATTTAAGAAAAGAAATAAAACTTTTGTTACTTGAGATGACCAGCCCAATCTAATGGGGCTCTAAAGACACATCAGTTAGTGGGACATTAAAGAAATGCATAGAGCATATAATAGAAAAATACACTTTTTATTATCATACTCGAAAGCTCAGATTAAAAAAGGAAAATAAAGAAAAACCATTCAACATTGAAAGTCAATAATATGTGGATATTTCCACATTACTTGGAATAAAGTAACAAATTCAAAACTCTTAAACCCCAACTTTTATATAAGAGAAGAGGCGCAAAGGCCTTCATTCACATATTCCTAAAGCAAGGTAAGATTGTCGGATAAAACTCTTAAAAAGGCAAGTGCCTGAAAACTGGAAAGTTGATAAATTCATCCAATTAAATAAAAAGTGCAATTGAATCCCAGCAACCTAAGAATAACAAAAACTTTCTCCAGCTATTTTCAGTCCACTTGTTGTCAATTATCAAGCTTGTAATTGTTTCTTCAAATTTATCATCGCAACCGGCCATTTCTTTCAGAAGTACAAAACAAAAAGGACACTAACAGAACACTTTACATATTAATGACAGACTCCAGGATAAGTAATTAAGTATACTATGACAGTTTGACAAGAGAACTTGGTTGTCTCATTTACCTGGAAAATCCTTATTAGTGACGAATGTTTCTGTCCTCGCTTTTCAATCCAATAACTACGAATAGCCTCTACAACTTCCTTTCTTTCCAGATCTATGCAAAAAATATCTGCTGCTATGTCATCTGCATACTCGTCTGAATTATAATGAAAACCTTTTTCAAGGGCATCAATTATCAACTCAAAATTCTCACGTTTGACAAGTTCACAACGCTTCTTTTCTGTGTAGAACTTATTATTGAACTTGTTCAGCCATTCCTCGTCATCGGAGTCCATGTCATAATTGGCAGTCCTCTTTGCCAAGGCCCTCGTTAACTCATCGCCTTTAACAGTGATGTACGAATCAGGTCTATCGAACGGTCCAATGTTGCTATCTACAGGGTATGATACTTCACGTACCCAAGGAATGGGAAGAATACTAGTCGCGTGGAACTGTGCATTGCGCTCAGCACATTTCTTGTAAAGTTCCTTGAAAATCGCCCAGTCTAGTTTGTTAGGAAATTCAAGCTTCCAACCGCCATCAACTGTCCATATTATAGAATGTGTGAAACGGTTACAACAGCACGGCCTCAAAGCATTTTTTACTGCAAGGATATCACGGTAAATCCCATCCCTCATAACTGCAAGAACCCATTGTTCTGATGGATATACCTTTAATGTGATGGTAGTTCCTTCTTCCCTATAACACTTGTCCGTTTCAGTGATTAATATGTTAGCAGAACAGCAATTAGCGCCTAAGTCCTGCGTCCTTTTGGCATAACTCATAATTAGGTTACTGGATGCTACAGAAGAGGATCGGATGTCATGTCTAGACCTTAAAAAATCAGAAGCTAAAGCTCGACTGGCTTTTTGTACACGAACTACTGAAGGTGGTCTACCTCTCTTGCGCTTTAGAGAGGTCCTCGCTTTCTTGATGTTGGAACCATTTCTTAGGTGCATACTTCGAACAGCGGATTTAGAGAATCTAATGGTTGATTGTGACAACTCTCTTGTCTCTGAACCATCAATCCGAGGTGCAACCATGATGCCATCGGATCGATCTATCCGGGAAGGAACTTGAGATGAGGATACCTCCTGTCTTTCCTTCTCAACATGCTTGGTCACACACTGTGAATTTGTACCAAGTACACAAGCCAGTTGTACAGGCCTAAGGTACAAACTTGAATGCAAATGCATAAAGCAAGATGGAACTGCAGAAAAATCCACAGAAAACACAGGTATTGAAGACCTTGATCCTGAAATTATGCAAAAACCAGGGTTCTTGATGGAAGTAGAATCCTGATATATGAAATACGAATATTAGAATAATCCCAATAAAGAAACCTGATAAGATTCAAACAGCAATTGATAACCATCGTGTTATATCTTGAACTCAAGATACCTCATTACTCATCAAATAACTATTACCTAAATGAAGCAAAATTCGCAAAACAACACACAGGTGCACCCAAAAAAAAGTGACTACAATAATTAGTAAAAGTATGCTACAAAATAGTTGAAGTCCAAGAAAAACATAATTAAATAATTGACAGAGTAAACTCATATTTTTAGGTGTATTAGCCCTGACTATCCAACAATGATAACTGATAAACAAATATCTACTAGTATGGAAAATAAAAGATTCTTGATGGTAGTAGAATCCTGAGATATGAAATTAGAATATTACAATAATCCCAATAAAGCACTCAGATAAGATTCACACAGCAATTGAAAACCATCGTATTATATCTTGGACTCGATATACCTCATAACTCACCAAACAACTATACCTAAATGAAGTAAAATTCCTACACCAACACAGTGAATACAATAATTAGTAAAAGTAGCCACTAAATAGTTCGAGTCCAAGAAAAACATGAATAAATAATTGACAAATTAAACTTATATATTTAGGTGTATTAGCCCTGCCTACACAACAATGATAACTGATGGATAAATATCTACTAGTATGAAAATAAAGAAAAGTTACCGGCAGAAATCGAATGCCATGTGAAGAAAAAGCATCACATATTGGTTCCGATAGTAAGAATGCAGAAAGATGCCGCAATTCAATCGTAAATCTCCTCATGTACTTAAATACGGAATTCAGGAAGTATGAAATCCAACAACCATTATAAGAAGACCACTCTCTGACAATTAAAGCAAGCTCCGAACAACTTCCAGAATTATTGTGGAATTCTCCACATGTTTCAGATAGTTCAGTAGCTCTAAAATTTTTCCTCCAACTTTTCCGTACAAACTGCTCCCCAAACATTTTATCCTCTGAACTGTCGGAACTACTCAACACAATCTTTCTCATTTTTCTCTTATATACAATTCCAAACATCCTGTCAGCAATTTTTACCTGTGGCATACATTCTTCCATCTTAGGTTCCACAACTATATCCAGGGAAGAATCATTTTCAATTTCTTGCCATGCCCTCTTGCAACGTTTACCAGCGTACCCTCCAAAATTCATAGAATTGTTCGGAAGCTGAATCCGCTCATTCTCCTTATTAGCCGCTCTTAGGTACTTCACACTAAGACGTGGTTCAGTGCACAGCCGCCTTCCTGACCGCAAGACCCTTGCTCCAAGCACCCTCGTGATTTTTCTCATTCCCACTGCAGGCATTGGTATGCCTTCCAGGCAAAATGACTGAATCAACTTTCGTCTCTGTCACACAACCTTAAAATCAAAACTAGGTCAAATACAAAACAAAGTTCTGATAATGAAGAGCACTCAAATCCTTGTTTTTGTTCCTTTTCTAGTGGCATAGATTGCTCTCAGTCTGGAAATACGACGAAGATCTCAGAAAAACAGTTTATTAGACAGTGGGATCCCAGAAAACAAAATTCAGTATCTTCTTCGCAATAAATGGCATGAACCTAATCTGAAATAAAATAGACTTTCTACGAAAAAGAACTCCACAGCCAAATTCAATTCACAGTCCCACCAACATAAACTTGAACCCTTGACTAGACATCGACCCGATCCCAACTCAGTAAGCTTGGGACTTCCACTCACCCAAATCGACACAAACTCAGCCCATTTCAAGCATCCAAGAGAGAAACCCTCTTCTTTCACTCTTCCCCATCAATCTCGTTCCCCAACTCAGTTGACTCAACCGGACCCACCACGAGCCAGAGAAATTTTTCAATTCATTTTCAAGCAATTTTCGTCCTCGCCATACAGCAAAGAAAACTATATACCAAAATACGACAAACCCATCAAAAATTCACAATGTTGTTCCACAAAAACATCATCTTTAATCATTTATATCCAAAATAATCCAAAACAAGTAAAAAAATAAAAATCCTACAATAAAAAATTACCTGCCTGCAAGTAATAATTCTACAATCCAGTAGTAATTTCTTTGATTTTTCAGATGGGTGTCTTTTTTTCTGGCTTTCTACTTTTTCTTTTTTTCCTTTTTTTTCAGGAGTTGACGGTGCAGGGCTGCGGGGTGATATGAATGTTCTCTAGGGTTTGAATGCGGGAAATGACGCAGGGGTAGTAACCGCTACTGGTACGCCAAAGTGTTCACAACCGTTGGATGAAAAAGAATGGACGAGTGAGATTTACGAAGTCGATGACCATAGCAATTGGCGAGGGACCTGTGGGGTCCATGGAGTTAGAGCCTCAGCATCTACAGTATTGGCCACTCACCATCGCACGTGAGAGTGCGATCGTGTGAGTGGGAGATATAGGTGTCCACGTGTTGCCCAAATGTTTTCCTCCCACAACCTAATTTGTTCATTATTAATAAAAAACTCGTCGCTATCACGTGCGTTGCACGAATTTTGTATTTATCGTATTTTATTAGTGTATGAATTTTAGCTTTTTTTGGAAGTTTTTGAAGCAATATCTAAAAATATTTTCATGATATAAGAAAATAATTGTAAATTATTTTTATAATTGCATAGCAGTATGTTATCTAGAAGAAATATGTATTTCATGTTTGAATAAAAAATATGCAAACTATTTTGCTTGTATTCTTTTATAGTGTTAATATGATTGAATTAAGTGTGAAGATTATATTTCTAAATTTTGTGTAATTCAATATTGTAAAATTGAAAAAAAAAACTCTTTGTACAGTGCGGAGAGAGTTAAACCATGTGCGGAGTAAAAAAAAACTCTCCGCATAGTACGGAGAGATGACAAACCAACTCTCCGCACAGTACGAAGAGCAAAAAAAACTTCTACACTATGCGGAGAGTTGGTCCGCACCATGGCAAAACTCTCCGCACAGTGCGTAGAGAGTTGAACCATATGTGGAGTAAAAAAAAGTGCGAAGAGAAAAAACCTCTCTGCACAATGCGGAGAGAGTTGAACCATGTGTAGAGAGTTGGCAAACTCTTCGCACATTGTGGAGTAAAAAAAACATTCCGCACAGTGCGAAGAGATGACAAACCAGCTTTCCACACAGTACAGAGAGAAAAAACTATCCGTATAGTGCGGAGAGTTGTTTTCAAATTCCTTAATTACAAGTCAAATTTCAAGATTGTAAATTATTCGTATATACAACGAAACATAGTCGAAAAACTTGGTTTAAAATCAATTATATCTTCTTTAAATTCCAATCACAGCTCAATTTCTCAGCATGAAAATCATTTTTATGGTATTGGAAATTAGCTTTCTCGTGATTCATACAATGAAACAATATATGAGTTGTGCAAAGAAGGGGATATTGATAGTACCATGGCATTGCTTTCACAAATGGAGGTTCTAGGGTACCATCCAAATTTAATATTTTACACTTGCTTAATAATAGCTTTTGGACATTAGAAGCAGATACAATTTTCAATAAAATTATACTTTCGAGTTGTAAACCAAGAATTAAAGTGTTCAATGCATTGCTCAAAAGTTGTTTGAGAAAATGCCTCTTGGAACTTGCAAATAAAGTCTTGAGAGTTTTTGTTTTTCTCTTCACACTGTGCGGAGAGATAGTTTGTCATCTCTCTGCACTTTGCAGAGTCTTTTTTTTTTTGCTCATGTGCGGGAATTTTTTTTTTATTATTATTATTTTTGTCTCAATGAGTTTATATATACTAAAAAAAAAATTTTTTAGGTTGTTGGCATGATGTGTTTGTGATAGAATATTTGTCAATCACCATAAACAAAATTCTTCACAAAATATAAAAAACAAAAATGCATAATAAATCTTCTTATTACGCTAGTAAAATTACAATAAATTTTTTTTACAAATAACATAAAAAAAATCATTTTTATCTTCAACAAAAAAACACATTTAAAAATTAGCAATTTCCTAACCACTTTTTTTTTAATTCTCGAAAATACAATTATAAAAAAGGAAATGATTTTGAATTACAACATTTAATACTTAAGAAATTCAATATTAAATAAATTTTATACATTTATAACAAATTATAAATCCATATATTGCAGGCAGCTTACTGTATATACAGCTTACCGTATATGCTCCCTATCGTATTTGCAGCTTACCTTATTTGCAGCCTACTGTATTTGCAAATAACTTACTGTATTTGAACCTTATCGTATTTGCACATTACCGTATTTGCAGCCTACCGTATTTGCAAATAATTTATCGTATTTTCACCTTATCGTATATGTTGTCTATCGTATTTGCAACTTTTATCGTATATGCTGCCTACTGTATTTGCAGCTTACTGTATTTTTATATACCAATTTTTGCACTTACAAATACCGAGAATGCAGAATACCGTACATTCATTTATCAAATCGAATTTCAAAAAAAAAATTTAAGATATTTATTTTTATAAGCATAAAATATATATTAAATATATATAAAGCACAAATATAAATACATCTGAATATGGTGTTCAATCTTCAATTTTCCAATATTGAATTACACAAAATTTAGAAATATAATCTTCACATTCAATTCAATCATATCAACACTATCAAAGAATACAAGCAAAATAATTTATATCATCTCGTATATTTTTTATTCAAGTATGAAATATACAAGTACATTTTTTTCTAGATGACACTATATTATTATAAATTGTAAAAATAATTTACAATTAGTTTCTTATACCATGGAAATATTTCTAGATATTGCTTCAAAAACTTTCCAAAAAATTAAAATTCATATACTAATAAAAATACAATAAATGTAAAATTCGTGCAACGCACATGACAGTCACTGTGCGAAGAGTTTTTTTTTTTACTTCGCATTGTACGGAGAGTTCGCCAACTCTCTGCATTGTGCGAAATTTTTTTTACTTTTTTTACTCCTCACTGTGTACGGAGAGTCCGCACTTCGTGAGGACATTGTCCGCACAGAATGCCATCTCTCCGCACTGTGCGGAGATTTTTTTTTTTTACATCGCACTGTACGAAGAGTTGGAACTCTCTGCACATGGTTTGCCACCTCTTCGCAATATGCAAAGAGTTTTATTTCTTCATTTTTTACTCCGCACATGGTTTGCCATCTCTCTGCAATATACGAAAAGTTTTTTTTTTTTTTTTTTTAAGTTTATGTGCAAAGAGTTTTTTTTTTTGGCAATTTATATTTACTAAAAAATATTTTTTTTAATGCTAGTGACATGATGTGTGGAAGAACACTTGTTTGACATAATTATTTTTTTAATGTTAGTCGGATGATATGTGGAAAAACATTTGTTTGATATAAACAAAATAAAAAATAAAAAATGACATTATGCATAGTAAAATTGGATTCATTTAATGCTAGTGGCATGATGTGTGGATTCATTTAAAGTACCGGGATTGTGATTATTGTACATCATTATTTACATATTCTTTTATAGATTTGTGAGATGATAAAAGGCAAGCGAAAGAATTTTCTTTTATTATTTAGTTGGTAAAATTTTGACTCAATCAAATCTCGCAACATATCTATTAATATTAATCAATAAATTTTGAACCTTGCTATAGGTACAGGGATTTAAATCCCTGTACCTACCGACAGAGGCGGAGGGAGAGGGGGGTTGGGGTGGGCTGTAGCCCAGCCCCAGCCCAATAGCTAATTGACTTGTAAAAAATGGAAAATTCAGTCCAAATTATTGGTGAAATAAAGAATACAAATTTAGCCCAGTCTATAAATTAATTTTTAGCACAATTAACTTCATTCCCAACCCAAGTCCAATGTTCAATTATTTAAGGGGGGTGTTTGAGTCACATTATTTTGGTAATAATGCATTCTTAAATAGTGTATTGATGGGAAATGTGTAGTTAAAAAATAAGGAAAAGATTTTGATTTGCGTGTAATATTATTTTATTGAAAAATATGTGGTTAAAATGATGTCAAATCATTATTTAAAAATACATTTTTTTAGAATAATGTGGCTCAAACAGGCCCTAAATTAAATAGTTCATTTATAATCAAATTAATTTATTATATTAGAAATAAATTTTTATTGATTAAAGTAAAGATAAATAACTTATTGTAGCATGTCACATGTTTGACTAAGCTTAAAAGTAATTAATTTTTTCTAACGTATTTTTTCATATATTGTTTATTTATACTTGTGATTTAAAAATTTATTTATTTCAACCACGAAATGGAAATATGCTTTATATTTACTTTTATCATTTAAAAATATATTTGTTAGAATTTTGTCATAGATGTTTAAAAATATATCTTGATCCATTTTGTCATTAGCGTGAAAAGTGTAACCTTTTAAACTAAATCTCGAGTAGCAAAGAGCATTTATGAAAAAATTTAATTTTCAGCCCACCCTAATATATTTTCCTGACTCCTCCCTTGCCTACCGAACGCTCACATTAAAAGGCCGGAAATTTTTTTTTTTAATATTTTATACACGGGCCCACTCTCATGTGAGTGAGAATTCAAAAATCTATCAAAAATCTGGCAAACATTTTCTGTACTTGAAGAATTTTGATAAATTTTAATGTACATATAACATAATCATTGTAAAATTCCTCGGCCACCGCACTCCTCACAATGCCCCTCGTCAAAATAGTAAACGGGGTGAGAAGAGAATCATGGTCACCGTCCAAAATTCTAAAATTACCTTTGAATATTTTTAATTTATTTTTATATTTTTCTACCCCTCTGCTTCCTCGATAATGTTTAATGTGAAAATAGACAAAAAGGTTCTTGTCAAATATAGCAATCATATTTCAACAATTAGCATAAAGAATCTTCCTTGCAATTATCGAGGTTTTGTCATCCCCTTTTTATTGTAATAAAGGCTTGTGTCGTAATGAGAAAAACATTCATTTAATGGCATTCAAAATGCACATGTACAAACAAAGTGATTATTTTGGAACAATTAGGGAACTTTGGTGACTAATTCGAAACAAAATAAACTTTTTGGGAGCAACCTACAATCACTTTCATGGTAATATGTAGGGGAGAGTGGTCAAAATTGTTGAATGTCAAATTTGGTGGGGTAGGGTTTAGTGTATTAGACCGTGGTTTTTGCAGACAAAATTAGTGTTTAATAAATCTTTAAAGTCGATTGATGCTATCAAAAATTTATACCTGCCAATATTCAAGTTTGACGACT